ATATATATATATATATATATATATATATATATATATATATATATATATATATATATGCGAGCTGAGGAGACACCTCATCTTGTGTCTCTTCTACCTTGTCTCCTGTCTCCTGACAGGGTGAAGGCCCTGCCTGTGCCCTACCCTAGTCTCCTGTCCCCTCTCTGCTGTCTCCTCTCTGCTGTCTCCTCTCTGTTGTCTCCTCTCTGCTGCCTCTTTTATGCTGTCTCCTCTGCTTTGTCTCCTCTCTGTTGTCTCCTGTCTGCTGTCTCCTCTCTGCTGTCTCTTCTCTGCTGTCTCTTCACTTCTATCTACACTAAAATGCAGCTAGGGACAGTCTGAGGCTCGGAGAGGAGACAGTATATGTAGCACACAGATATATATATATATATAATATTCGTCTATATATATATATATATATATATATATATATATAGGCGGTGTATAGGGCATAGACATAGAGTGTAAACGCAGTAGGGTTGTTATATAGTAAGAGCTGAGCTGGCTGGTGTATACAGTATACACTGCGGGGGCCTATAGAGAGCACAGGTGTCTCCTTTGAGCCCCTTGTTTACATAAAGAGAGACAGAAGGAGACAAGAGGAGACAGAGAAAGATAAAAGGAGACAGAAGGAGACAGAAGGAGACACTTTTGTCTCCTCTCTGTTCACCGCTGCGGCGTCTGTCTCCCGCATGGACCCCCGTTTGCCTGTCTCCTTTTGGGGTTTAGTTGCTGCAGATATATAATATTTAAAGAGGAGACAAAAGGAGACAAAAGGAGACAGAAGGATACAGAAGGAGACAGCTGAGGTGTATATCTCATCGTAGGCGGAGCCCTCCAGCTGTCTCCTTCTGTCGCTCTGCTGCTGTCCCTTTATCTTTTTTGTTGCCGGCAGCAGCAGAAGGAGACACTTTGACTCTATAATAGCATTAAAATATATAAATAAAACAAAGTGTCTCCTTTTTTCTCCTTTTGTCTCCTCTGCTGAGACAGAGGTGAGGAGACACCTGAGGTGTACGTACACCGGACCAGACCAGCGGGAGGCCGCAGCCGCCTGCTAGTCATTGTGTTTATTGTTTTTTTCTTTTTTTTTTGTTTTATTTCTTTTATTTAATTATAAAACACCTTTTTCTTCTCTAAATAACAATAAAACTCGATTTGCTGCAGCAGCAGCTGCGCTGCAGCAGACAGCCAAGCACGACCGCCAGCAGCAGCAGCAGCAGCAGCAGCAGCAGCAGCAGCAGCCGCAGCCGTTGGAAGGTAGCCACTGCAGCAGGAGGGCCTCATGCTCTCCCGCGGTGATTCGGGTGTATATACAGCTCATAGTTGTATTTGCTTTATATATTTACATATTTCTTTGTTTGTTGTTTTCTTCTTTCTTGTCCTGAGCCTTCTACTGCTGCTGCTGCTGCTGCTGTTGCTGCTGCTGCTGCTGCTGTTTAGCGACAGACAGCTGGAAGAGACCCTCAGCCGGTTCGGGTGTATCTGCAGCTGCGGTGTATGTACACCGATGATGTTTCTCTGGTTTGTTTAAGGAGACAAAAGGAGACACTTTCTCACTCTCATGTCTCTTCCTTGTAGGCTGCTGCGGCCAATAGGCGCAGCAGCAGCAGCAGCAGCAACAGCAGCAAAAACAGCAAGAGCAGCAGCAACAGCAGCAGCAGCAATCGCCCCTCTGGTTGCTGTTCTCTGTCTCCTTGGGCTTGTTCTATCACCAGCTGCTGCTCTCCCGGTGAGGCTTTTTCTTTTTCTTATAAACTAATACACACACACACACACACACTGTCTCCTTTCTCTTTCTAGTGTCTCCTGTCTCCTCTCTCTCTCTCTGTCTCCTCTCTCTGTGTCTCCTGTCCCCTGCCTCTTCTCCTCTGTCTCCTCCTCTCCTCTGTCTCTTGCTCCTTCTCTTCTGTCTCCTCTCTCCTGTCTCCTCTGTCTCCTCTCGGCCGTATCCTGTCTCCTCTCTCCCGCTGATGCTCGCTAGGGTCCCCCCTGTTCATGTTGCTGCTGCTGGTTGCTGCTGCTGGTTGCTGCTGCTGCTGGTTGCTGCTGCTGGTTGCTGCTGCTGCTGGTTGCTGCTGCTGCCTGCTGCTGCTGCTGCCTGTTGCTGCTGCTGCCTGTTGCTGCCGCTTGTTGCTGCTGCTACCTGCTGCTGCTGCTGCCTGTTGCTGCTGCTGGCTATTGCTGCTGCTGCCTGTTGCTGCAGCTTCTGTGTTAAGATATATGTTGTCTGTGCATGTGTCTCCTTTTGTCTCCGCAGCTGGGCTCTGCCACTCCTCTGTCTGTCTCCTCTTCATGGCGTTCTGCTGCTGAGAGAGGAGAAGGGAGACACCCCTGGTTGTCTCCTGCTGCTGCTGCAGCAGCAGCAGCAACAGACGATGCAGCAACAGACCTATGGCCTGAAAGCCTCCCCCTTCTAGAGGCGGAAGGAGACAGTCCACAGTCCTACCTCCAGC